GGGGGGGGGCGCTCGGGACTCCAAAGGGAAAAAAACAAAAGACCCCTTCCGCTTTGGCGGCAACTTTTCAGCGTTCCCCCCCTACCTTCCTCCCGAGCGGATCGGAGCTCAATGCGGGTTTTCTGCAGGGCTTCCTCCAGCTCGGCCGAGCGGGCCTTCTCCTTCTCCAAGGCCACCTTCAGCTCACTGTACTGCAGAGGAACCTGTGAGGGCAAAGAAGGGTCCTCTTTCCGTCGACTAAACAGGCCCTAGCAACAGAAACACACAGACAGCTCCTAACTCCTAGTCGGTGACGGTTGCCTCCAGGGGAAGGGGACGCTGGCTAGCTAAGGGCAGACCAGAGGGTCCGGCGGCCTCCTCGTCTCAGCCAAGGGAGGAGGAGCTGGGCAATGGCCAGCCAAAGTTTTCCTCCTCCTCCTCTTCCTCCTCCTCCCCCCCACTCCCTTCGCATACTGATGATGTTCCCTAGTACGGTAATAAAACATCTACAAGCAAACCAGCTCGGAGAGCATCAAGGACCCCCCAGTCCTTTTCCTCTCCTCCTCCTCCTTCTAAGTTGAGGACTATCTGCATAGGGTCTCCTGCCTGAGCAGGGGGCTGGACTACAAGACCTCCAGGGTCCCTTCCGGTTCTGTTGTCATTATGTAAGCCCTAAGGCTGCTAGCCAAGGGATCAGTGCGCCCGTGGACTTTCCTAGGCATGGTTAGCCAAGCTTGACTTGATGGGTGACGATGGCCTTCTGGCCCTGTCTAGCTGGGAAAACACGGCAGCAAAGCGCTTAGCAAACTCGCAATAAAGCTTGGCTTTATTTGGCGGCTTCGTGGGTGGAAGAGAGTTTGGCTGTGTCTGCCCATCAGGTGAAACTTGAGTAATTGGAAGGCAGTCCCTCGGCCTGGTGGGTGGCTGGCTGGCTGAGCCGGTGGGTGGGCAGAAATTGCCCTTGTGTAGAAAGAGACTCCACAAGGAATAGCAATAGCACTTAAGACTTATATGCCCCTTCACAGTGCTTTACGTCCCTCTCGGAGCGGTTTTACAGAGTCAGCCTCCTGCCCCTCAACAATCCGGGTCCTCGTTTTACCGACCTCGGAAGGAGGGAAGGCTGAGTCAACCTTGAGCCCGTCAGGATCGAACTGCTGGCTGTGGGCAGAGTCAGCCTGCAATGCTGCCTTCTAACCACGGTTCCTGCCTCCCCACTGCTGTCTGATGCCAATAAAAAAAAGCCACCTCAGGGCCGTAAACCGAGGGGTCCCAACTGTTGCGAATAGTTCCATTTTATAGCGGAAATTGTTTCGCTACACCTTTCCACTTAACAACAGGAAACATCTGCCCTTTTCCCGGCTGATTCAGCGTAGATCTGAATGCCCAGCTATTAACCCTCTAACGCTGCCTTTATAACATTTTCCCGGGGGAGGCCATCTTTGTCCTTTAATAACACACACTACAACTACAGGGTCCAAAGGAGGAACTTAAGGAACTTGGAGGAGTTTGGGGCATCTTAAAAGCCCTCTTCATCTCCCAGTCTTAGAATTTCGGACAGAAAGCCACCTGCCTCCTAGTTAATCTTTGTGTTCATTTATTTGCCCCACCTTTTTTTTCTTGGCTGGCTGATCCATCTTTGCTTGCAGGAAGTCTATAAGCTTGGTTTGTTGGGAAATTGTGCCTTCCATTTTCACTTTTTCGTGGGAATAGAGGACCTTTGCAACACAAACAAGTTGGGGAGAAAAAAAAGACCCAGGAATCACCACAGGTGTGCAAATAACCCCAGGCAAAGGGGAAATCCATAACATTATTTTCCGGCGGGCCATGCTTTTCCCCTCACCTGAATATTTTCCAGCTGGTATTCCAAGTCGCTCCTTTCAGTCTTCAAAAGATCCGCCCGGTCCAAAGCCTCTTGCAGGCCTTGAGTCAGCCGAAAGATGTGATTTTTCTGCAAATCCATCTGCTGCTGCAATTTGGCTTGCTGGGAAGGAGACAAAACCCAGCATGGCAATTATAAAATATTCAGAGGGAGGGAGGGAGGATTAAGAGAAAGACAGAAAGAAGAAGAATCGAAGGAGATAAAGAGGAAGGAAGGAAGGAAGGAAGGAAGGAAGGAAGGAAGGAAGGAAGGAAGGAAGGAAGGAAGGAAGGAAGGAAGGAAGAAGCCATATTTTGGGGTTATGTCAAAATTTAAACTAATGTTTCTCAGCTTCGGCAACATTAAGATGTACAGACTTCTATCCCCTAGTTAGCAGGGAATTAAAGTCTGCACATCTTAAAGTTGCCCATTTGAAAACCACTGATTTAAACCAAGCTTGTAAGATAACATCTGGAGGAACCTACTCAGAAGGAAACAAAGCCAACAGTTTCGATGGTCTAAGCCAGGGGCCTTCAAACTTGGCCCTTGTATGACTTGTGGACTTCAACTCCCAGAATTCCTCAGCCAGGCACGCGTGCCTGGCTGAGGAATTCTGGGAGTTGAAGTCCACAAGTCATACAAGGGCCAAGTTTGAAGACCCCTGGTCTAAGCAGTGACCCCTGCTGAGAATTCTAACGATTTGGGATCCAGAAATTTCCAGAACTGGCCACTGCAATCTCGCTGGGAAGGAGCTACAGCTATTACGCCACCAAGCCCAAATTGTAACATTTGCCAGTTTCTATCTCCCAGAAAGGGCTCACAGACTTCCATTAGGGAGCAGGGACTACCTCTTCCAGAAGCCTCTGTTTGAGTTCGCGTTCCGTTTCAAGCTTCTGCTGCAAGCTCCGGGCGTTCATCTCCAGCATGGCGTGCTTCTTCTCCAAGTCGTTGAGCTGGATAGAACAGGGAAGTGGGCAGGTTCAACGGACGCAGGTGTGAAATGCCCCATTTGGCAGTCGTTCTGAATCTACTCGGCCCTCCGATTCCCTTCCCCCTTTCTAAACCTCTGTACAGGCAGTCCTTGACTTACAACAATCCATTGAGTGACCATTTAAAGGTACAACAGCACTGAAAAATAGCAATAGAGCTAGCGCTTAGACTTATATACCTCTTCACAATGCTTTACAGCCCCTCTCTAAGCGGTTTACAGAGTTAGCCTCTTGCCCACAACAATCTGGGTCCTCATTTTACTGACCTCGGAAGGAGGGAAGGTTGAGTCAACCTTGAGATGGTCAGGGTCGAACTCTTGGCAGTGGGCAGAGTTTGCCAGCAATTCCACATTCTGACCACTGCGCCACCACAGCTATCTATCGTCTGTCTATCTGTCTCTATCATCTATCTATCTATCTATCTATCTATCTATCTATCTATCTATCTATCTATCTATCTATCTATCTATCTATCTATCTATCTATCTATCTATCTACCTATCTATCTATCTACCTATCTACCTACCTACCTACCTACCTACCTACCTATCTATCTATCTATCTATCTATCTATCTATCTATCTATCTATCTATTTATCTATCACATAAGCAATAGCACTTAGACTTATATGCCGCTTCATGGTGCTTTACAACCCTCTAAGCAGTTTACAGAGTCAGCATATTTGCCCCCAACAATCTGGGTCCTCATTTTACCGACCTTGGAAGGTTGTAAGTCAGGGGTCCCCAACCCCTGGTCCGTGGACCGGTACTGATCCGCGGCATGCCAACAACCGGTCCGCACAAACAAGCAAAGCCCCATCCGTGGGATGCAGGCAGCACACAAAACCACGCACTCTCCAATCTGTGGAAAAACCTGGTACCCAAAAGGTTGGGGACCTCTGTTGTAAGTCAAAGACTATCTGTATAGCATTTTAAGTGACCAACCTTGTCGGACAGACTCTCAGCTTTGAGTTTCTGTTCCTTTAATGCTTGCTGGAGAGCCAAGATCTCTGCTTTATGTTCTTTCACGGCGAGCTCCACCACTTGGCGGGATTCCGTGATACGCTGGTCGGCCCGCACCCTGTATGAAAGGGAATGAAGTCCCGGCTTTACACCACTCGTGGGGTCTGCTTCCCTTCCAGGATCCCAGGACGGGTGGGATCAATAGGAAAGGAGCTTTCAGACATCCAAGCCCTTTCTTTCGAAGGCCAGAAGGCCACCATCCAGTGCTTCTTCCTAGATTTCACACATCTTATCCGCTCCTGCTCTGCTGAGCGAGAACCAAGTTGGCACAGTGAGAATCCGGAAGAAAAACGAGGGCCAGATGGTGGCGGTATAAGAGGGTTGCTGGCAAATGATCAATCTCTGTTTCCCAACGTCAGGCTCTTGCATAAAGTTCTGTATATAGCCTATATGTTTGTTAATTAAGAGTCCAAGAATAAACCGGTTTAGAAAGCAGGAACAGCCCAGCTTCCTGAAATTCTTTCAACCTTTCCACGGTCAACTCTCCATGTTTCCTTCCTGAAAAAGGGTCAGGGGAAAAAAATTCTGCTGCAAGAAAACGAGCAAGCTCAGAGAGTACCAGGGTCCCCTCATTTCAACCCTGAGCTTCGAAGAGTCTCCTTTGTTGAAGCCTGAAATTCACTGTTCTTTCAACGTTCCCGTCGATTTTAGTACAAAACCTGTTTTTCAACCCCCTTCTTTTTTTTTTTCACCATTTCACATGCACACAAAACCCAAGCCGAAGAGAACTCGTTACCTGCTCTGCTTCTCCGTATCCAACATCCTCTGGAGTTCCCGCACCCGGCACTCAAACTGGGTCTTCTCATCCCCCAGAACACTCCTCCACGCCTCCCACTGACGCTCCTTCTCCAAGAGTTCGTCGTTCAGGGCCTCCAGATCCATCACTTGCTCCTCCAGCATGGTACAGGTGGTCTTTAAGGCCTCCATGGTCTATAAATAAATCCCCAGCCAAGTTGTTGTTGTTTTTTTTGTCCCCTGATGTTCAGCTCAAGAGCATAATTGTGGTCTAAAATAAAGCTCCTTTACATTCCTTATGAAGAGGTTCTTAACATTTACTGAACCTCTTCGAGGATAATCAAGAAGATAGTGAACAATGTTCCAGAATATATATATACACACACACACACACCACAAAGCAGGACAACAAATCACACCAAACGAAGTCTACTCGGAGTGGGCTGAAGTCAAGCTGAACTAGATGCCTGTGAAGAGGACTTGTCAATACATGGCTGGGTCTGAATTACCCAAGGGGTGTTTCTTGGGACCGTGCGTCTACGTTGACCACACAAGGACTTTGTGGTGCAAAACTCTAACATCTCTCTTGATGGTCTAAGCAGATTTTATCCATTCTATGTTCTTTAATTAAATCCTGCAAAGCAATTCTTAGCTTTTTGTTTCTCCACCAGCAATCAGCACTCAGAGGAGCACAGATTAACTCCAAGTTAACATCAGACCGACAATCAAGTAAGCAAGACCCCAGTCGAGGGACTGCCAAAGAAGCCAAGGGCAAACAGCCCAGTCAAAGAATCTCTAAGACAGGGGTCTTCAAACTTGGCCCTTTGATGACTTGTGGACTGCCAGCCAGCATGGCATGCTGGGTGAGGAATTCTGGGAGTTGAAGTCCACAAGTCATCAAAGGGCCAACTTTAAAGACCCCTGCTCTAAGATCACCCCAGGACAAGCCACTAGAATATAAACTGAGAACGAACCTCACTCCTTATTAGCACTGATGTTACCTAATTTGGATAATGAAACATCTGCAAGAAAACAACCAAGCTCAGAGACCACCAAGACCCCTCATTTTTGCTTCTGTTACCCAGATGTGATGGCACAGTTCTGGATGATGGATATTAGATAGAACAACAGCATTAGAAGAGTCTGAGGCAGGGACTCCAAGGTCATAAAAATGGGGAAGAATTAACTATATGCAGTGGTTTAGACTGCCTGCTTTCAGACCAAGCCTTCAATATGTATATGCAAGTTAATCTGCTGGTTGAAGAAGAGTCTCTAATAGCTGGCCTTGGAAGACTTAAACTGGGAGAACTTACTTGCTTTTGACTGGTGAGCTGCATCTCCCGTTCCGTTATCTCGCGGCGAAGATGGTCAACCTCACTTCGCAGCTGAACCACCTCGTTGTTTGCCCCCGAAGCTTCGTCCAGCTGCTTGGACAGGAAGAAATTCTGGTTGTTCAGCTCAGCGTTATCCTCGGTCAGCTGGTTCAGCTGCTCTTCTAGGTCCGTAATCACCTAAATAAAAAAAAAATAACATGCTGGGGAGATGGGAAAATAAAAAAAATCTAAGAAATAGGCTGAACGTAAGCCGAGCCTTCTGACAGCCAACTTCCAAACTTGATCGAATGGCGTTCTGGAAGTTTATCATGCAGCCTTGCAAAATGGCACATGCTGAGTTGCAGAGTGGAAAGGCCAGCCCCGCGCCCGCGTTGAAGACCTGCTGTTCTTTTAATCGCTCGCTGTAAGATGGCAGCTCAACGTAAGAGTTTACCTTCCACCCTACGACCTCAGTTGGAAGGGTTGCAATAGCAACGAGCAACTGGCAGCCCGCGGGGGGGGGGTGTCTTGCCGGATCTGCAGATGTTCAAAGGACAGCAGAAGCAAAAATGGATTTATCTTCCCCAACCTGGTGTTATCCTCACTGTGGACAACGGAGTCTAACTTCCCTAAGAGGGACGCTGATGACTTGCACAGAGCCCTTTGAAGAGAGGCCGATGATCGCTTTGAAATTACTTGAACAAGAGAGGAACACCAGGAACACTGGTCAGTTAGAAACCTGGGTGTCAAACGTGTCTGCCAGGGGAAAGCTAAGATAAGCAGTTCAATGAGAGGCAGGGAAGACCAAGGCAACGATGCTTTTATGAAAAGAAAGAAAGAAAGCTGGTGTCCATTAAAGCAGAATGGGGGTGAAGATGGACCCCCTCGGACCGCCCACCCCAGATGTTTTGAATCCTGCTGTCCGCGTGGATAGACGACCTGTCAGAAAACGGAGGCCAACGACTCCACAAAGTCACACCTCCGGAGCACAAAACCCACAACTCTTGAAGGAGACGTTCAACTGGATATTGAGTCACCTTCCAGGCAAGGCTTGACTGAGTCACCCAATAACCAAACCACTTTCTCAAAAGTTGTCCTGGCGCAAACAACTTGCACTCACAGTTGGGACTCCCAACCAATGGCAACTTCTCCCTTTTCTTCCTGGCAACGGAGGAAGAATTGACAGAGGAGAAAAGCGTTGTGAATAGGAATCAACGCCAATGTCATCAAGCTAATTAAAAAAACAACAACATCCTGACAATGTGGGGCCCGTGCTCGGATGTTGTCAACCTAAAGAGCATCGTCTCCCGGTGCATTGGATCTAGAGGGTCCCATATTTGGAAACCATTATATTTCTTTGGTTCAGCTGCGTGGGGAGGGGGACAGGGGAGGAGATGGACCCTTTCTCATTCTTTTATAAGTATATAAAGCTGACAGCATCTCCTAACAGGTGGTTGGAATAAATATGAAGATAGACCACAAGGGAACAGCAAGGTGGCCACCTTCAAGCTTGAAGTTCTGAGAACTTCCTAATCCATTTGAACTGAAGGATCTGTGAAAGCAGGGTATGGGATACCACAAAGAGGTCCCTTGCTCCAGGAACAATCTTTGTTTTCAACGCATCGGGAAAAACTTTTCAGGTTAGTATTAAGAAACAGAAAAAGTACCCGCTTGAGGTTTCTGTTTTTCTTTTTTCCTTTCTAGAAGATAAAAAATCAACATTTATGGACATTCCCCTCTCCCCTCCACTCTTCCCAAATTTACAGTTAATGCCAATATCTTGAAATTTATCAGATGGGTAGACTGAAAAAATTCTTCCCTCCTGGATGTTGGGGATCGATTTTCAGACTGACATTACAATTCTGAAATAAACAAATAAAATAAAATGAAATTGAAATGCGACTAACGCAGAAACGCCTTGTGGCTATCATTTTTTTCCAGTCCTTGTTTATATCCATCGACGCATATCCTTTTCTGCAAGGGTCCAGGTTTGACTAAACACTATGAGCAGCTTCTCATATTGGTCGGAAATGAATAAAGTTTGCAAAGAAATATAACACCCGACACATTCAAAATTTCAATTTGCTAGTAAAGGAAGACAGCGGATGCGAGGAATAAGAAAGTAGGGTTCCCCCCCCCCCCATGCTACATGTTAGTTATAAAATTTTAGTACAACACTCGAGGTTACCTTGGTAACCCGGATAGGCAGATAGACCAATCAGCAGTTCTTTAGCCATTACAAATAAAACGGTCCCTCTTATATTTTCAGATGCACATGGGCCTCTGAAGAGCAAGGGCCAGAGAGAAAAAAAACAGGAATATATATTATCATCGTTTTGATGAGCTTCGGAAGCAAATTGGTTGCAGGCGACCGGAGGTAAAACCATAGACCAGGCAGAATTGATAGCCGATTAATCCAGCAAGTGTTAAACTGCTAGGTAATAATTTTTTTTTTTGCCTTGATGCATCTTCTATGACCTACAGGTACAACTGTTTCGTTTAGTGACTGTTCAAAGTTACAAGGGCACTGAAAAAAGTGACTTAGGACCATTTCCCACACTTATAAGCATTGCAGCATCTCCCTGCGGTCAAGAGATCAAAATGCAACTGACTGGTATTTATGACGGTGGCAGCGTCCCCGGGGAATCGCGTGATTCCCCTTTTGCCAACCTCCGACTAGCAAAGTCAGTGGAGGAAGCCGGTTCACTTTCACAATTTAACAACCGTAGGGATTCGCCTAACGGCTGTGGCAAGCAGGCTCCATAAAAAAGGGAAGAAACCTCGCTTAACCGATGCCTCGCTTAGCGACAGAAATCTTGGCTGGCTGTACCCCATGAACCGTTCTGTCGGCTATTCGAAGTGCTGGAAGGAAAAATAAAAAATAAAAAAAATTAAAAAAAACAAAGCCTGAAGGATGAGGGCCTTTTTCCAATTCACCTCATGCGGTGCTGCCTGATGCCTTCTCCGGTCCCTGGTGGGGAGGTGTAAAAGATTTAAGAGGCTGCGGTATTTCTGAAATGAATTCAGGAGAAGGAGGAGGAGGAGGAGGAGAAACAGGCAGGCAGGCAGAGGGGAAGGGATGAGGGTATAGGAAGAAGGAGAACCTCTTGCAAAAAAAAGGGAAAAAAAAGAAACTTTATTTTCCTTGATCTCAGCAGGTGGGCTGTACTTATTTGAGGAGGGGATAGAAGAGATCTAATGCAAGATGCTTATTCTATATATATATATATACACACGACACAACCATCTTTTCATGAATCATGTTCCAGCATCCGTACAAGCCATAAATACCCTTGGCTCCCCTGTTTAGCATAATATTTCGGCTAAGAATAACAGCAGGCGCCTCTACCTCCTGTTCTCTGTCAAGAAATATCAGCAGGAGGACCAAAATTCATACGGTTGAGGCACCGAGGTTTCAGTTGCAGCAATAGGGCAGCCAGGCTCTAATTAGAAGGCTATCTTCACATTATCCTAGGAAAGCAAACGCCGTTTTGGGTTAAGGGCACCGAAGCAGACCAGTGCTTCCAACGAAAAAAGCGCCAAGGTCAAAGGCACACCAGAAAACGTTCACGGTTGGGTCAATGAGGTGCCGTAATGGATATTTTACTTCCCCGGATCTACTTCCTTGCGTGTCTTACATCCTCCTCCAAGCTATTTCTGAATTTAGCAGCAAGTTTGCAGCCCAGCTATTAATATACTAAAGAAAGAGGCACAAGGTCTGGGCTGGAGTTTTAAAAAACCTGCCCCCTAGGTACAGAAACATGAAGGGCCCTGTTTAAAGCCGTTGCCCCACTTAACATCACATCAGAAAGCCGCACAACTGATTTGCAGGGTGTGGGGAGGGCTGCATCCTTAACTTCCTCCCCCCCACTGCCAAATAAGCATATGCTCAGCCGAAGCAAACTAGGGCAGTGGAGTTAAAATTGGGAATTACAGAGCCTGTGTAGAAACAGAGACTTGTTCCCAGTCAAAATTTTAAGCAGTAACTTGTTGGGGAAGCAATTGGCAATAAACTTAATCCTGCTGAAAGACTATGAGAAGGAATGACAGCAGCTTTTGGGAAGGGAAGGGAAGGGAAGAAGTGGAATGGAATGGAATAGAATAGAATTAGAAAATGGAATAGAATATTAGAAGTGGAGTGGAGTGGAATAGAATAGAATTAGAAAATGGAATAGAATAGAATTAGGAGTGGAGTGGAGTGAAAAGGAATAGAACAGAACAGAGTTGGAGGGGATCTTGGAGGTCTTCTAGTCCAGCCCCCTGCTAAAGCAGGAGAACCTACACCATCTCAAACACTTGCTAAGTGTTTGTAAACTTCAAGAACGGATTGTGATTTGTGCACAGGCTGGCAGCGGTTTGGGAAGGCCAAACCTTTGCAATGAATTCCTGGTGCTCAAAGGAGAGGCCTCATTCTTTTCCAGATACTTACTTTTAAGAAGTAAAAACAGCAAGGAGGAAGAGGAACGACTTCTCCAGGAAGAAGGAATTGGAACATTATCGGTTCTTAACGCCACCAAAGGACACGTCATGGTTTTGGGAAGTACGCTGAACGCTTGTTTAAAATCACATGCATATATATTTTTTCCCCCCTTGCGTTTTTCTCACCCACTTCAAAATCTGCCCGAACTCATCTGTCCATACAAATCAAAGCAAAACACGACCGACACGCATTTTGAACGTCGGATTCCCTTGCCCGGAAGGGGCTCGTTGCAACATGTTCCTTTTGAGGCCCTGCGTTCGTTTTCGCGTGCGTGATCTCGCATGCGCCGGCCCGCATGCAGGTTGCAGCCTGCGAGAGCGCTGAGGGAATGCAAGAGGCTCGCTCAAGATGCCGATGGGAGCAAAAGGAAACTGGAGGTGAGCATTTGCATGCATGATTTGGGGGGGAGGGAGGGGGAGGGAGGGAGAGGAACTTAGGGGGGGGCCTGGTGTTTGTTTGTTTTTTCATCCAAGGGGAACCTGCGGCAAGGAAAAGGAGATGCAGCCGTGCATGCAGCAATTGCCCAGCTTGCAGCAGATGCACATTTGGGTCGCGATTCAAAAGCGATGGCGCGCAATGCTCCTTCCTAGAGAAGGATGGAAGGTGGTGCTCCCAGAGAATCTGCAGGGTGAGGGAGCCTCATCTTAAAGAGACAACGGGGCTGGCTGGATGCCCAAGCGTTGTGGAAGAGTCAAGTCACACAAGGTCCTTCCCACCGTCTGGAAGTGTCAAATACCCCATCATTTGTTGCAGCTGCTAAACCATTCTTATTAGCTGCACTGAAATGAGATTTATTTTTTATTTTATTTTATTTTTGCAATTGTTTCTCGAGGTTTTTGAAATAGCCAATGCCCGATTTCAGTTCGGCTTCAAACCTCCAGAGAGGAGATTTCCTGGAGATTGTAAAGTAAGAATCCAGATCGATCGTGGTTCTGCTAACTCGGGGAAAGCCAAAGACTCCTTAAGTCTTTGCCTTTCAAGGAGCAGACACAAAGAAAGGTGGACGGTTTCCTTCCTCATCCTCTGATTTCAAAAGAATTGAATGATCTTGGTTGAATACTCACTGTGCAGCTATTACGAAGGGCTTCAAATTTACGCTGGATTTCATCTCTATGTGCCTAAAGGAGGTAAGAAGTTGATCATCAATGTTTGCACACATTAGAGGCAGCATCCAACAGCTGTTGCTACATGAACTGTAGAACTATCTACCAGCAAGCAAAGTTTAGAGAGGGCAGATCCTGCAGGTTGTTACTCCTAGCTGGGCAAAAAAACAACAAAAAAACAAAAAACAACAACAACAGAGTTATCGGCCTCAGGCATCTTCTACACCTGGAAGCTAAAGCTTCAATCGTATCTAAATGTCTATGGAGATGCTCCATCTTCCAGGTCCTGGTTGTCCCAAAGAGGCTTCTTCTAAAGGCAACTGGACTTTCTTGGTTTTGTTCCCTTGAAGACATTTTGCTTCTCATCCAAGAAGCTTCTTCAGTTCTGCCTGGATGGTGTAGGATGGAAGGATTTATACTCCTTGCAGATAGACGGTCATCAACGATTGACTGTTGCTAATGAGTGATTCTGTGTTAATGACCAGAAGATTGCCAGGAATATAAATCCTTCCATTCTCCACCATTCGGGCCAGACTGAAGCAGCTTCTTGGATGAGAAGCAAAACAACTTCCAAGGGAAAAAAAACCAAGAAAGTCCAGTTGCCTTTGGAAAAAACACCCGTGGGGACTTCACTCACATCCATGACAGGGTGGCAAAGGCCACACATAAAACTGAAGATGGGTGCTGTGAAATAATCAAGTTATATGCTTGCCTATCCAAAGATCCTTGCAGAAGAGCAAGCTGAGCCGGGAGGGCAGAGTTAAGCAAGTCATTAGCCTAGAGTTGTTCTGTTCCCACAAACAATCTAACTCTAATCTAGTCCTAAATCCAAGGTATTCAAGAAAGCAAAATTCTTTCAGCAAATTTAAAAAAAAAAGGACCAACTACTTCTTTGCCCCCACCAGCTGCAGGGGGCTGAGACAAGGTCATGTCCCTCTCCTCATGTCCCCCAAATATGAAGATAAAAAATAGCTGAAGCACAAGATGGAAACAGGAGGGAACACGGTTCCTGTTTGTGTATGATTTTACTGCTAAGTCAACCGATTTTTTGGAACGATTGGATTAAAAGGAAGTTCTTCCAAAGCTTCCAAGGGTGTGGAAGGATGTTTGAAGAAAGCAAGACGGATCTGGAGTGAAAAGGACCGCGTGGAAGAGCAACGGTCAACTTATTGTACAACTATGCAACAAACCAACCAATTGTGGATTACGGCAGACACCCGGTCCTCTTCGCCATTGTTATTTGGGCAATTTATGCCCACTGAATTTGAAAGCTAATGGCATCCACAACGTATCCAGAGGTTGGCAAACTTGCATGTTCACCTGGATGGATATCACTGGTTTTAGGGAAGGGTAGGGAGCGCGTCAGGTTGAGAAAGGCTACAGAAGTCAAACTAGCAGGAACAGGATATATGCAAAGCAATTTACACGCTGTGTTTTATGTAAAATCAGCAGCAGAGCGCCATCAACCTACAGAGTAATTGGGTCTAAAGAATGCCATGCTTCGTCACGGCCCAACATACACCGAGCTGTGTCACTTATGAACCCAAGCATCGGATACCATGACATCCGTGACTTCTGAGTTTCCTACGAGGAAGGTGGACTTTCCAAACGGAAAGAGCCTGTCTCTTCCCCAATTCTGCTAAGCCCACAAGATATATATACAGAGATCCGTTGAAGACCGGTACACTTCTATCTGGATGGCTGTTCTCTTCCACCAAGCTTGCAGCTTCAGGAGGAACACACATGGAATGGGGGCGGGGGAGGGGAGGGGGGGGCAAAGGGGATACCTGCCTACACAACCAGATCAGCTAAATCAACCCTGACAATCGTGACAGATGTTGCAGCCAGACCGCCTCTGGTTCTACAGAAGTCCTCTTCTGACTCCTTCAGGCTCCATCTATCAGCTCAAAGGCAGAAACAGGGTCCCTCATGGGGAGATAAACAGTCTTTGCTCTCGGGAGGGTCTACTATACTTTTACAACTCCTAAATCCCCAAAACATCATCATCGGAGACAGCTGCTTTGTCAAGAAACAGAACCCAGCCACAGTACAATGCTCCAGCTTGGCCAGACCGGATGAAAATCCTACTTTTGGAAAACTCCTTTTGATACATCAGAAGTCAGAAAGAACATTAAAACAGGGGAAGCACCAGATCAGATGGACTTTCAAGTTTATACTGTAAATGTTTTGAAGACCAAATGTCATTCTGTTAAAAAAATGTGGGGAATTCTACTATGTCGTGCCAGATTCTTGGGAAAAAAGGCAAATATTGCTTCTGTTACCCAAAAGAAGGATAAAGATTTGACCTCTGGTAAGAATTATAGGCTGATTTCATTCCTGACCGATGAGTATAGATCTTTGACAATGCTACGGTAGCTGAGAGAGTTAAAAAGATTTCACAGCATTTTACTCATCGTGACGCTGACCAATCTGCATTTCTACCCAGAAGACAATTAAAGGATAATCTGAGCACTCTTCTGGATATAGACCAGCTTCAACATCCTTGTGAAAAACAAGTCGCGCTGATTTTTTTGTAGATGCAGAGAAGAGGGAAGCAGGGAAAAGGACGTTGCTAAAAATCCACAAACGTCCCAGTGTTTATACAAAAAGGGGGATTCTCTTTTTTTAAAGAAGGTCCAAGGAACTAAATCAAAGCAACTTACCTGCAATTCACGGCCTATCAGTGTTAGCAAATTTCCACAAAAGAGAGTCAGGGCCCTTTATTAAGGACTGCATTTGAGTCCCTGTGGTGGACTCCTTCCAAGAGAAGAGCTCCATTTAGGGATTAGTTCTCAGGACTAGGCTTGGACTTTAAAGAGAATTTAAGATGTCAAGGAAGCCCTAGTCAGAGTGGGAGAGTTCACCGCCTAAGCCAACTCTCGCCCTGCAATCCTAAAGTAGCACTTACAAAAAGCAGTGGGCGACATAACCATCATCAACAGTTAAATGGTGGGCTGGGATGAAAACACAACATGTCTGGATTGTATTTCGAAATCAGAGTGAGGTTGGGATGGGATTCCAGGAGGACTTTCAGCCATAGGCAGTTCAGTCCCTTCCAGAAGGCCCTGCTTTAGGACCAAGGTCACCTCTCGTCCAGGATCCATGGTCTTCTAAGGGCTGTTGGTTCTCCCCATGATGGGCTTCAGAAGAGGGTCTAGGACAGGGGTAGGCAACCTTGGCTCTTTTATGACTTGTGGACTTCAACTCCCAGAATTCCTGGGAGTCTCTTTCTGTCCACAACAGCATGATCTGGAAAACGCAGGAATCCTACTTTTCTCTTTTAAGATTCATGGGTCACGGAGAAGGGCCAGAGTAGGCCCAGAGCATTCTCCAGGTAAAACAGTAAAGCTGTCTTTAAAATAGCTAAATAATGGTGAGGTCTCAGCATTCATCCATGGGATCTTGTGAGACTTCAAGTCAGTGTGCTGAAAGTTCATCACAGAACGACCTGTGATCTTAGACGGTAAAGCTGTCATTGTTTTACAAGATTCAGAGTGAGTCTATGTGTGGGGATATATGTCTGGTTCCGGAAAGTTTCTGACTCTTGAATTTGAAGATTGGATAGTAACTACTTCCTTGCTCTTTAAATCCCAGGCCACCTTCGGCAGGCAGAGTGATTACCACTGCAAACATGACATCAACAGAAGAGAATAATCGTTGCTCAGGGTTGAAATGAGGGGTCCTTGGTGCTCTCTGAGCCTGGTGGTTTTCTTGCAGACGTTTCATGACCCAACTAGGTGACATCATCAGTGCTAGACGAGAGTGGGGTTTGCATTGATGCTGTCACCTACTTGGGTAATGAAACATCTGCAAGAAAACAACCGAGCTCAGAGGAGCCCACAAACATGACATCTTTACTTCTAACTGGGAGGTGCAAAAAAAATAATAATGATAATAATTGGTGGCCAACCATTTCATGAGCTTTGAAAGTTCATCAGGTGTTTTGAACAGGAAGCTGGGCTGTTTCAAGCAGGCTTCCACCGCTTCGAGCTCAGAGTCGGCGGGACGCAGCTCCTGACCCCAGCCCCGGAATTCAACAGCTTACCGTCAGTGCCTGGATCTCTTCTTCAGCCTCGGCCGTGGTCTCCTCCAGTTCGGTTTTAGCTTCCCGGAGCTGACTTTCCAGGGCTGCCCGGGCTGCTTGCAAGCCTGAAATCTGAGATTCCCTCTCCTGAAGGGTGAGCTGCAATTCGGTCAGCTGTCGCTTCAGTTCTAGTTTTTGTTCTTCGTGTTCAAGGCTAACCTGAAGGACACAATTGGGTAGCAATGAACGTCCCGCTTTACGCGCCAAGGTTCCACACGCTCCCCTGCCGTTAGCTGCGTTAGGATGAAAAGATCAGAGGACAGGGCCGAGAAGAAATGGACACACAGCTGTCACTTAGAGAAGCTTTCAAACTCCCTACATCTTCTGATTCTTTTCTAAAAGCTGACCTCCTCCTACTCCAAATAAAAAAAGGAATGAATTCCCCTCCGAACAGATAGCACGGCTTCGCAACAGCTCTGAAGATCTGCTATCGCCCGTGATCAGCGTTGTAGCCAGTCTCTCTGCTTCTAGACAGCGAAGCTACAAAAGGCTGCAAAAATAGTACATAAACACAGCATATTGGCGTAGACAGCCCTTCCTGCATGACTGCCAGGGCTGTCAAGAGACATTATGGCTTACAGTAACAGGAGCAAGTCTAATTGTTCTCTGGACTCACCAGTTCTAATCTGATCTTGCAGGACTGGGAGACGGTCCTTAGGAAAGACGTTCCCTCAGAAATGTAGTTAATAGGTAGCATGAACAGCAGGAGTATTCAAACACGGTGTTGTTGTTTTTTTTACCTCTCGTAACCTCGTCTCCAACTCCAGCAGGCGAGTCTTGTCGCTGTGGTCCTGATGGCTGATCTTTTCCAATTGTTCCTCCAGCTTGTTGTTGTGCGCCTCTAATTTTCCAGCCTGAGTTTCCAGATAAAACTTCTGCTGCCTGAGCTCGGAAATCATCTCTTCTTGGGCTTTCCTTTAAAAAAGAAAGAAAGGAAAAAAAAAGTGGGAGAGAGGGGCACACGCTCTAACCCAAAGGCCATTTTCTTTTCATTTGAATAATACTGTCAATCCTCCCAATGTAACCGTATTTGCTAAAAACTGAATTGGAACCCTTTTTGGAACAGGGGTCTTCCAACTTGGCCCTTTGATGACTCGTGGACTTCAACTCCCAGGCACGCTGGCTGAGGAATTCTGGGCGTTGAAATCCACAAGTCATCAAAGGGCCAAGTTTGAAGACCCCTGCTTGTGGACTTCAACTCCCAGAATTCCTCAGCCAGGCACGCTGGCTGAGGAATTCTGCGCGTTGAAGTCCACAAGCCATAAAAGGGCCAAGTTTGAAGACCCCTGTTTTAGAAGTTAAAAAAACAAATCAGGACGTTTGTCAATGGAGTGGGGACAGAAGGCAGTGATGCCAGCCAACTGATTATTGAATTATTGTGTTAAAGAAAATTAAACATTAAAAGAAGTAGCTGGATGTTGCTACCAGAATGTCTTCCCCTAGAGCAGGCATGTCCAGCCTGTGGACCAAATACGGCCCTGGATAACTAGTAATGCAGCCCCACAAGAATATACATAAATATAAGGCATTTATATGCATTAACTATATTGAGCGGTGTGGTGGTGGCCTAGCCGTGAAGACGCTCGCCTCTCACTCGGAAGGTCGAGAGTTCAATCCTACGTAGCGGCAGATATTTCTCTCCTAGGGCCCACAACTGGCAAGAGTTTAGCCAAGTTGTCAGATATTTTACGCAATTTCTGATCAAGATGCCAAGACAACGCGCCCTTGGCAATCTTTCAGGCGACAGACAAGACAATGCAGTTAGGGGAGATTCACAGATGTTCCCCGCGGTGGCTGTTCAGGCCCACCTCTGCTCAAAATTAAAAGGGGCATCAAAAGGAAGGCTCTACGATGAGTAACAGGCTTGCTCAGCTCCTCCAAACTGCTGTGAGTCAAGACAATTTAATAGCAGCATTTATGCTTACATGTTCCTCTGAGTAAACAGGCTGCTGTTGGCTGCAAGCTTGTTAGCTTCAGACAGTTCCACTATTCTCTGTTCCAGAGACCTAATCTTCGAATCCATGGCATTGATCATCTGGAGAAAGATTTTTTTTTTTTTACTCCCATTAATACAGCTGTATCAACAGTGGTGTTCAAACCATGATTGATTGATTTAATTTCCCTAGCCACCCAGCTGAAGCAATTGACTCCGGGTGGCTTACAATTCTAAAATTATAAAAGAATTTTTTAAAAAAGCATTAAAACGATAAAAACACCCCCAGAAGGTAAATAAACACAAAGAGCAGCGGTGATGATTAATCTACTGACAGTAAAGCCAAGGAATGGGGTCCTTAACACATTCCAAGTCTCAGGGAACGTAGTCAAGTATTTAAATCAGGAGTGTCCAATCTTCCAGGGTTGGAGCATTCACCGCTTCTGGAGGCAGGTTGTTCCACTGGTTAATTGTTCTCACTGTCAGGAAATTCCTCCTTAGTTCTAGGTTGATGAGTTTCCATCCGTTGCTTCTTGTCCTGCCTTCAGGTGCTTTGGAGAATAGCCTGACTCCCTCTTTCTTTGGGGCAGCCCCTGAGATATTGGAAAGCTGCTATCCTGTCCCCCCTCGTCCTTCTTTTCATTCAAGATTCATTAAACTCTATCTTAAGTTGATTGAAATCGCCCTGCGCTCTACGGGAATCGCACCCCCATCTTCCAACTCGGCTCAAAATATTCTACCGTCTCCGCAGGCCTGCTGAGGCACACCACGCTTCCCGACGGGAGGCAGGGGGGGAATTCTGAACAGCTCCTCCACATGAAAACATCTTTTCCGCTGGCACAGAACCAGCAATATTGATATGACAATTAGGCGTGTTTAGCTCACTCAGGCAATCTTTGCTAAGCCGGGGCGAGCGACGTTACACATGCCGATGTGACTAAGCTCACCTACCAGCCCGGTGAGTCAAACTAATTGAGCGGCGCCTTATCTACATCAGCGCCTCGCTTACCGCTTTCTGCTCGGCAAGGATTTTGCACTTTTCGTGAGTTTCCTCCTCGTGTTTCCTCAGCATGTTTTCCAGGGCGTCTTTGTCGGCCAGGTCTTTCTTCATCTGGTTATCAAGCACCTGCGTTGATTGTGGGAGAGAGGAAACAAGCATGCTTAGTTGGAGGCCTGTTGACGTCCAGCCTAAAACTTGGGTTGCCTCTTAAGCCGTTTTGGCCACCTGGAAAAGTGTCGGAGAAACACTGGAACGCCGACCCCATCAGGGATTTGCAAAAGCTTTCTGGGGCTGAAAGCCGGAGTTACTCTGTGGGATGACGTTCCACAGGCTGCATTCAAAAGAAACCTTACAAAATGTATTCAAAATGGACAGTGGTTAATATATATATTAATATGTATATTTGGGTGTGTGTATAGACATATATCTCATACATATATGTGCATGCATGCAAGGAAGCCGTGGTGAGGCCCCTCCTCAAGAAGCCTTCCCTGGATCCAGACGAGTTGGCCAATTATCGCCCGGTCTCCAACCTTCGCTTTACGGCGAAGGTTGTTGAGAGTGTGGTTGCATGGCAGTTCCCGCGGCACCTGGAGGAAGCAGACTATCTAGACCCATACCAGTCGGGCTTCAGGCCGGGACACAGCACGGNCTCGGAAGGTCGAGAGTTCAATCCTACGTAGCGGCAGATATTTCTCTCCTAGGGCCCACAACTGGCAAGAGTTTAGCCAAGTTGTCAGATATTTTACGCAATTTCTGATCAAGATGCCAAGACAACGCGCCCTTGGCAATCTTTCAGGCGACAGACAAGACAATGCAGTTAGGGGAGATTCACAGATGTTCCCCGCGGTAGCTGTTCAGGCCCACCTCTGCTCAAAATTCAAAGGGGCATCAAAAGGAAGGCTCTACGATGAGTAACAGGCTTGCTCAGCTTCTCCACACTGCTGTGAGTCAAGACAATTTAATAGCAGCATTTATGCTTACATGTTCCTCTGAGTAAACAGGCTGCTGTTGGCTGCGAGCTTGTTAGCTTCAGACAGTTCCACTATTCTCTGTTCCAGAGACCTAATCTTCGAATCCATGGCATTGATCATCTGGAGAAAGATTTTTTTTTTTACTCCCATTAATACAGCTGTATCAACAGTGGTATTCAAACCATGATTGATTGATTTAATTTCCCTAGCCACCCAGCTGAAGCAATTGACTCCGGGTGGCTTACAATTCTAAAATTATAAAAGAATTTTAAAAAAAGCATTAAAACGATAAAAACACCCCCAGAAGGTAAATAAACACAAAGAGCAGCGGTGATGATTAATCTACTGACAGTAAAGCCAAGGAATGGGGTCCTTAACACATTGCAAGTCTCAGGGAACGTAGTCAAGTATTTAAATCAGGAGTGTCCAATCTTCCAGGGTTGGAGCATTCACCGCTTCTGGAGGCAGGTTGTTCCACTGGTTAATTGTTGTCACTGTCAGGAAATTCCTCCTTAGTTCTAGGTTGATGAGTTTCCATCCGTTGCTTCTTGTCCTGCCTTCAGGTGCTTTGGAGAATAGCCTGACTCCCTCTTTCTTTGGGGCATCCCCTGAGATATTGGAAGGCTGCTATCCTGTCCCCCCTCGTCCTTCTTTTCATTCAAGATTCATTAAACTCTATCTTAAGTTGATCGAAATCGCCCTACGCTCTACGGGAATCGCACCCCCATCTTCCAACTCGGCTCAAAATATTCTACCGTCTCCGCAGGCCTGCTGAGGCACACCACGCTTCCCGACGGGAGGCAGGGGGGGAATTCTGAACAGCTCCTCCACATGAAAACATCTTTTCCGCTGGCACAGAACCAGCAATATTGATATGACAATTAGGCGTGTTTAGCTCACTCAGGCAATCTTTGCTAAGCCGGGGCGAGCGACGTTACACATGCCGATGTGACTAAGCTCACCTACCAGCCCGGTGAGTCAAACTAATTGAGCGGCGCCTTATCTATATCAGCGCCTCGCTTACCGCTTTCTGCTCGGCAAGGATTTTGCACTTTTCGTGAGTTTCCTCTTCGTGTTTCCTCAGCATGTTTTCCAAGGCATCTTTGTCGGCCAGGTCTTTCTTCATCTGGTTATCAAGCACCTGCGTTGATTGTGGGAGAGAGGAAACAAGCATGCTTAGTTGGAGGCCTGTTGACGTCCAGCCTAAAACTTGGGTTGCCTCTTAAGCCGTTTTGGCCACCTGGAAAAGTGTCGGAGAAACACTGGAACGCCGACCCCATCAGGGATTTGCAAAAGCTTTCTGGGGCTGAAAGCCGGAGTTACTCTATGGGATGACGTTCCACAGGCTGCATTCAAAAGAAACCTTACAAAATGTATTCAAAATGGACGGTGGTTAATATATATATTAATATGTATATTTGGGTGTGTGTATAGACATATATCTCATACATATATGTGCATGCATGTGTAAGAGAGAGAGACAGAGAGAGAGAGGATAGAGAAAAGAGAGAGAGAGAGGAGAGAAAGAAAAGAGAGGAGAGAGACAGAGACAGAGAGAGGAGAGAGAAAAGAGACAGAGAGAGAGAAAAGAGAGAGGAGAGAGACAGAGACAGAGAGGGGAGAGAGAGAAAAGAGACAGAGAGAGAGAAAAGAGAGAGGAGAGAGACAGAGAGAGAGAAAAGAGACAGAGAGAGAGAAAAGAGAGAGGAGAGACAGAGAGAGAAGAGACAGGGACAGAGAGAGGAGAGAGAGAGAGAGAGAAAAGAGACAGAGAGAGAGAAAAGAGAGAGGAGAGACAGAGAGAGAGAGAGAAAGAGAGAGAGAGAGAGAAAAGAGACAGAGAGAGAGAAAAGAGAGAGGAGAGAGAGAGAGAGAGAGAGAGAGAGAGAGAGAGAGAGAAGAGACAGAGAGAGAGAAAAGAGAGGAGACAGAGACAGAGAGAGAAAGAGAGAGAGAAAAGAGACAGAGAGAGAGAAAAGAGAGAGGAGAGACAGAGACAGAGAGAAAGAGAGAGAGGAGACAGAGACAGAGAGAGAGAAAAGAGAGAGGAGACAGAGAGAGAGAGAGAGAGAGAGAGAGAGGGAGAGAGAGAAGGCAATCAGAAATTTATTTTTTAACGTGTGCCAGTGTGTTCATAAAAACAAGTGACAATAAAGGTTAGAGCCAAAGAGGAGGCTAGCATGCCCAACTCAAAGGCAGTGCCACTTAGAGTCTAATTGTTCAGTTGCCTGGTGCTGTGGACATTATTTAGCGAGAGTTTCATTGAGACTCTTTCTTCGTATTTTCTGCCTGGGTCAGCCTGACATCTGAATAGCCGCTCAACGGTTCCATGGCAATCACTTACCATTGTTAAAGCTCTTTCTGGACCTTCCCAGTAATTTCTTCCAAAAGTTAAGCTAACACATAAGGGGGAGCAAGAACGGGGTAGAATAAAACCCCCCAAAATGGTCTCAAGTTTCCTTTAGAAGGGGTCCTTAACGGCACTGAGCTCTCTGGCATAATAAATCAGATTTTTGCACTCTCAAGTGGCGCCTGTGTTGGTTTTCTGCCTGGGTGGTATGTTGTTGAATGTTTTCAGCTGGAGGGCTGCAGAGTGCAAAGCAGCAACGCAGACGCATCAAGAGAAGGGCCACAGCTGGAATTCTCCCCCTGTGTTGTGTTTTTCAGCGCCAGGTTTTGTTTGTAATTTAGTGTAACAGCTGAGCTAACTAGACAGCAAAAAAAACCACAACGCATGATTGTGATTTACAATTTGCTGCACAATTTCAATAGCTTCCTTTGGGGAGGCAGTTTCTGGAGAGCTCACAGAGAGCACTGAGGGGTGACATCGTGTGTGTGTGTGTGTGTGTGTGTGTGTGTGTGTGTGTGTGTGTGTGTGTGTGACATCTCAGTGCTTCATTCCCTTCTGTTTTATGCCACTTCATTAGCTTTGGAACCCCAGTTCCCCCAAATTTGTTCTAGAGACCCGGTGGAGCAGTGGTGGTTAAAATGCAGTATTGCAGGCTGACTCTGCCCCATAGCCAGCAGTTCGATCCTGACAGGCTCAAGGTTGACCCGGCCTTCTATCCTTCCGAGGTCAGTAAAATGAGGACCCAGATTGTTGGGGGTAATGTGCTGATTCTGCAAACTGCTCAGAGAGTTCTGTAAAGCATTATGAAGCGGTATATATGTCTGAGTGCTATTGCTTTTGAGATAGACAGACAGACAAACAGACAGACAGACAGACAAAAGTACTGTGAAGTGGTATATAAGTCTGAGTGCTATTGCTTTTGAGATAGATAGATAGATAGATAGATAGATAGATAGATAGATAGATAGATAGATAGATAGATAGATAGATAGATATAGTTAGATGATAGATAAATAGATGATAGCAGAGAGAGAAATATATACTATAGCTAATGGATGATTGAGATAGATGATAGATAGATAGATAGATAGATAGATAGATAGATAGATAGACAGACAGACAGACAGACAGACAGACAGACAGACAGACAGACAGACAAAAGCACTGTGAAGTGGTATATAAGTCTAAGTTCTAGTGTTATTTTCTTTCCTTTCCCAACTCATTGCAGCAGGATGAGAAATGCCACGTGTCTCAAGAGAAACAAATCCCTTCTTACTTTGAGTCTTTCTTCATACATTTGTTCTTTCTGCTTCAGATGCAACTCAAGGTGCTGGGCTGCAAGCTGAGCTTCTCGATGTTTCTCTTCCAGTTCCTAGGACAAAAGATGTTTGGTTTTTTTTCAACATGTCAAACTCAAAGGAAAGGAGAGATACTCAGAAGCACGTCCATGAAAAATCACCTCCACAACCCCACTATTGTCACGGGCAGCCCTGGATTTACAGCCCTAAATTTCTGTTCTTAAGCGAGAGTTACGTGAGTTTTGCCCCATTTTACCACCTTTCTTGCCACGGTCGTTAAATGAATCGCTGCAGTTGTTAACTTGGGAACGCGGTCGTTAAGCGAATGGGGCTTCCCCCCTTGACTCTGCTTGTCAGAAGGTCGCCAAAGGGGATCACGTGACCTTGGAACGCTGCCACCGTCATAAATATGAGCAAGTTGCTGGTGCTACTAAGATTGTTGGGCGAGCAGGCTCAAAAACAGCCAGGGAAATCACTGGAAAGCCCCTCGTCAATCAAAAGGAGGGCTAATTTACCACCAGCCTCTCAAGTACTTAGAAGGCGCGGGCTGGGCAGCACAAGCAAAACGACAGCCAACAGCGTAAAAGCCAACCATCGACACAATCCAATCCGCATCTAAAAAGCCACATACAACAGGCACTATAAATACTGCACACACACACACACAGAACGGCACACACTCTGCTAGAGAGAAGTTCCCCGAGGATGGGCACAAAAGCTCGGAAGACAAAACCTTTATTCCCAGGGACTGACCCAGACTGGGATCCTGCATCACTTCGTGCATCTGATATCGGGGGTACAGCCCATAAACAATTATACAAAGTTCTTTTCTTTTTTTTTTTAAACATCAGAGGCTAGCATACATCTCTCTGCAATCGGTTTAAAAATATATTGGAACGCAAGGGGGGGGGAAAGAAAAACACCCCCATCATGGTGACCTATTTCCCAAAATGTATCGATCTTTCCGAAAAGCCAAGAAGTGCAAGTTGAAAGTCGTTGCAGACTCCGGGGCAGAGATAAATCGCTTGGAAGCTTCTTCTCCAGCAGCTCCTACTCAGCTGCCCCTACCTCTGTTGCCATAGCCACTGACAGCTTCCACCTACACGGCTAAAAACCCAGGGAAAACAGAGATTTGCAAGGCTTTCTCTGGTTTTGAGGGCAGATCTCTCTTCTTCGGCTTTTCTTCTTGGAAGCAGATCCAAAATCAAGCGGTCCTTTGCTTTTGGGGAAAAGCTCTCGGCCTTTCTTTCTTTCTTTCTTTTCTTTTTTAAGGGCCGATGAAACCATTTTCAGACCAACTGGGTGCTAGGGATTCTCCGGGGTCTCAAGAGTACGTTTTTGATTAAAACAATACAAAATCCAAAAGGCAGAAACACAGGGATTAGGGTTAGGGACCTTCGAGGTCTTCTAGTCCAGCCCCCCTACTTAAGGCAGGAGATCTTATACCATCCCTAGTCCAACGGTTGTCCGGTTTTGCAAACGTCCAGTGATGGAGCACCCATCGCTCCAGGAGGCAGGCCACTCTGTTGATTAATTGCTCTCATCGTCAGGAAGTTTCTCCTTAGTTCCAGGCTGTCTTTAACAAGCTTCCATCTGTTACTTCTTGTCCTGCCCTCAGGTGCTTTGGGGAATAGGTCAACCCCTCTGATCTGCGACAGACCCTCAAGTACTGAATAACTGAATAACAGAGCTGAAGGGACCTTGGAGGTCTTCTAGTCCAACCCCCTGCTCAAGCAGGAGACCCTGTGCCATTCCAGATAAAGGTTGTCCATCTCTTCTTAAAAACCTCCAGTGATGGAGCACCCACAACTTCTGGAGGCAAGTTGTTCCACTGGTTAATTGTTCTCACTGTCAGGAAATTCCTCCTTATTTCTGGTCTGCTTCTCTCCTTGCTTAATTTCCATCCGTTGCTTCTTGTCCTGCCTTCGGGTGCTTTGGAGAATAGCTTGACTCCCTCTTTTTTGGGGGCAGCCCCTCAAATATTGGAAGACTGCTATCCTGTCACCCCTGGTCCTTCTCTTCATTAAACTAGATACCCCCAGTTGCAGCAACCGTTCTTTATATGTGTTAGCCGTTTTAACTATGCTTTATATCTTTTGTCCCAGCATGACAGGATTTGCGGGAGCCGTTGGGCCAGAAAGGGGGGAAAAACCAGCCAAAGATAGGAATGGTGGCTATGGAAAGGCAGAGGGGGAAGAGAGGAAAGTACAGGTAGTCCTCGATTTACAACAGTTCATTTAGTGACCGCTGAAAGTTACAACTTTGCATGCTTTCAAGCTGCTAGGCGGGCAGAAGATGAGGCAAGCAACGGGAGCTCAACCCCACCTGCGTTGCTCAAGTCTCGAACTGCCAACCTTTCAGTTGACCGTTGGCCGGGTGTCTTAACTGCTAGGACCCCGTGCAACGGTCGTAAATGTGAGGACTGGACATTAGTCCCTTTTGTTCAGTGCCACTCTAACTAGGGTAGCCACAGGGCGAGATAGGTGGCAAATGCATTTAACAAATAAATAAGCAAACTTCGACCGGTCACTAAACACGAAATCGTTGTAAGTCAAGGAATACTGGCACCTGTAAATATGGGTGCTTTGACAACACACCAATGCAGGACCAAAGAACTCTAACCAGCTGGAAAGGCCTTTGTGTGCTAGCAAAGTATCATTTATCCTTCATTACCAGTGAGAAAGCGAGCAAGCTGCACTGCAGATGGGCTTCAGCGGATTATTTCTGGGGAAGGAAGAGTTAAGATGATTAATTTTGTCCTTCTCCAATATGGAAAACGCAGCAGATTTCGGAACCTGGGCGAGACTGCCAAGGCTTCTCAAGCTTGGCTTTGCAGACTTCAGTGTCACGTAACTCCAACATATTGATGTGCAAGGAGTTTACGAAACACGCTTTGTTTGAGTGGGGAGCTTCTGTTGCAGCAACTGGAAGCTGAAGCGCTTGCATGGGGAGCGACGGTGCCGCCAGGCGCCTGGATGACGTTGTGAGAAAGGGGAACTGGAAGAACCCAGCAGAAGAAGAAAGTGGGCTGGAAGGGAAGCGCCTTTGTTTCTGGCCTGTCCAATGATTAACTTTTTCTTTCTTTCTTTCTTTTTCTTCTTTCTTTCTTTCTTTCTTTCTTTCTTTCTTTCTTTCTTTCTTTTTCTCTTTCTTTCTTTTTCTTTCCTTTCTCTCCTTCCATCTGTCTATCTATCTGTCTGTCTGTCTTTCTATCATCTATTATCTATCTGGCTATCTATCTATTTTACTACCTCCATCTATCTACCTGTATCTATCTATCTCTGTCTGTTCTGATCTCAGAGAGAGAGAGAGAGAGAGACAGAGAGACAGAAGATGTCAACCTGCACAAAATCAAATGAGCAACTTTCATATCAGTGTTTCTCAGGATAGCAGAGTTGGAAGGGCCCTTGGAGGTCTTCTAGTCCAACCCCCTGCTCAAGCAGGAGACCCTAAACCATTCTGGAGAAATGGCTGTCCAATCTCTTCTCGAAATCCTCCAGTGATGGAGCAGCCACAACGTCGGAAGGCAAGCCGTTCTACTGGCTAATTGTTCTCACTGGTCAGGAAATTTCTCCGTAGTTTCTACCTTGCCTTTCTATCTGAAAAAGGACGCTGAAGGCAGCAAACAGGAAACAAACCATTAGCAGTCTGGGGGTAGAGTTTGAAGCACTGAATGTCAACTTTGGAGGGAGCCAGGAGCCCTGTCAGTCACTCAGCTCAAACCGTGACTCGGGGGGGCGGGGGGGCAGCCACAGGCTCTCAGCCCAGCTTGCTTCGCAGGACGGTTATTTTGAAGATGAAAAAGAAGAGAAGCCTTCCTTTGTGCAGCCCAGAACGCTCAACGATAAAAGCCAACATGAAAGCAATCAATGAAACAAAGGCACAACAGGCCAAAGCCAATTCAACAAGAAAAACGCTGAGAAAATATGAAAAACAATTGTGGAAACGATGAACCTCATTGCTACAGTTGGTCAGATTTGGACCATCTATAAATGTCCAAGGAATAGAAAAGTGGGGTTTTATGAGTCAGGGCCGACAGAGAGTCCCTGAAAGACGGTTACTGAATTCTTATAATATAATCCTGGGCTTCTGAAAGCAACTGCTTTCTTAGGATGCAGAAGAGAACCTCAGCTAAATCCAACAGGCTACCCTTAGATCTGTAGTAATAATAATAATAATAATAATAATAATAATAATAATAATAATAATAATAATAATAATAATGATGATGATGATGATGATGATGATGATGATGATGATGATGATGATGATGATGATGATGATGATGATGATGTTGGAAGAGACATTGGAGGACCTCTAGTCCAACCCCCTGCTCAGGCAGGAAACCCTATCCCATTTCAGACAAATGGCTGTCCAGTCTCTTCTTAAAAACTTCCAGTGTTGGAGCATTCACCGCTTCTGGAGGCAGGTCGTTCCACTGGTTAATTGTTCTAACTGTCAGGAAGTTTCTCCTTAGTTCTAGGTTGCTTCTCTCCTTGATTATAGGGCGAGAAAATATGGGAGCCCAAAAATAAAATATACACAGGTCATCCTCGACTTACAGTTCACTTCTTGACGATTCGAAGTCACAACAGTACTAAAAAAGAGACTTATGACCATTTTTCACACTGATGACCATTGCAGCATCCCCAGGGTCACGGGATTTACATTCAGATGCTTGACAACTGGCTCACATTTATGACGGTCGCAGCGTCCCGGGGTCATGCGATCCTCTTTTGCAAACGTCTGACAAACAAACTCAACGGGGAAGCCCGGTTCACTGAACAACTGTGTTACTAATTTAACAACTGCAGTGATTCCCTTAAGAAACGTGGCAAGGGTACGAAGTGCCACAAACGGGCTTCGCATAACCATGATTAAATAGAAGCTATCTGAACGCAGCCTAGGACCTGGGCTTACACAACTGGCTTAAGGCGTAATGTGTTTTGTGATTTTGGCTCCATAGTAACACATGAACCCAGCTGTGATGGTTTGTAAGTCATAGCTTAGGGCTTCATAAAAGGCCTGCATCCAGTCAATGGTGGTTTACTCAACCAACTTCGGAACAGAAGAAGCTTTTTGGATGAGAAGTGAAACATTTTCAAGCGGAAAAAAACCACAAGGAAGTCCAGTTGCCCTTTGGGAAAAGCACTGTGGCGTCAACAAAACTAGAGTTAAGATGATGCAAGATTATCACATACAAACAGGAATGTATAAATACTTTTTACCGGGGTGGATTTTCATGGTTTATGTTGCTGTTAAACCTCACTGAGAAAACTTGAAGGCTTGTTTCTTCTCTAAAGCAGCAGCCACGTAACTTTTCAGCATCCTGGACCCAGGCATCAACAAGGAACTCACAATAAATTTTACCTGTCCCCAGCTGCAGAAGCTTGTAATTCAAAATCTTGAAATCATGTTTCTTTTTCTGTCTTTTAACACTTCCCACCAATATCTCACTCCGTTCGAAAACTCCCCTCTTTCTTCATTGCTACCCACCAGAATTTTATCAGCCATCTGCTGGATTTGCTGAGATTTGGTCTGGATATCTTCTTTCAGTCGGTTCTCCCGGCGTTCCACCGTCTCCAGCCGCTTCACTTGGTTCTCTAGAGAATGACGCCTTTCCTAGCCAAGGTTCAAGAAGGCAGAATGAAAACCCCACCCCCAAAAGAATCTGGATAGTCACCCAACTTTTTGCCCTCAGCCCAAGAAGGCCAGACTCGGAAACTTGGATGACTGAATTTGAGTTAGAGAGCCCAAACCCTTTTGAAAACAACAAAAAAGAAAAAAAATGGCAATGATTTTTTAATTACAACTCATATAAGTTTGGCCAGTTCCAAATCGAGGAGCTGTGGCTTCCCACTTCAAGCTTAGATAACCACAGACCACTGGCTGCAGGCTCTCCAAATTCATTCCTGACTTTATCTAAGCCTAGGTTCAAATTTAAGCAAGTTTTAATCAGCAAAGAAAGTCAGGCCAAAACATAAAGGGTTTTTTTTTTTTTTTTGTTGTTGTTGTTGCACTGAGATCAAACGCATCAACGTGACAACTTGCTCACCTCGGCTTCCAGCAATTTCTTTTTCATGCTTTCGTTGGAGTCCTCCCGATTTTGCAATTTCTCCAGCTCTTTCTCGGCTCTCTCCTTTGCTTGGCGGATGTTCTGGAGCAATTCGGTGGCCTCCGAGCTGGCTTTCATAGCCTTCCAAGAGAGGAAAAGGTGACAATCAGTGCTGGCTGCCGTACACAGGGTACAAACACGGAAGCATTTCAGTAACCCATGGCACGTGTTTTTAATTTAGCAAGTCACCTAAACTGATGCATGGGAGAGGAAGAACCAACAAAATAGTGGTCAATATACCAGTCCGTACCTTACTCAGAAAGAAAGAAAAAAGGAAGGAAGGAAGGAAGGAAGGAGGGAAGGAAAGAAGGAAGGAAGGAAGGAAGGAAGGAAGGAAGGAAGGAAGGAAGGAAGGAAGGAAGGCTGGAGGGAGGGAGGGAGGGAGGGAGGGAGGGAGGGAGAGAGAGAGAGAGAGAGAGAGAGAGAGAGAGAGAGAGAGAGAGAGAGAGAGAGAGAGAGAGAGAGAGAGAGAGAGAGAGAGAGAGAGAGAGAGAGAAAGAAAGAAAGAAAGAAAGAAAGAAAGAAAGAAAGAAAGAAAGAAAGAAAGAAAGAAAGAAGGCTGGAGGGAGGGAGGGAGGGAGGGAGGGAGGAAGGAAGGAAGGAAGGAAGGAAGGAAGGAAGGAAGGAAGGGGCTGAAGTAGTGTCCAGAACATATTCCAGACCTAAAATTTGTGTAGTTGTTATGAGCCTGGGGTCTATCAAGAATTTCAGCGCAGAGTACCAACCAATGTTAGCTGAGACCAGAAGCAGCAGCAGAAAAATCTTAACTTCACTTAATCATTTGGCATAATTAATTACAACCGTTGCTTGCAATGCTGTGATCCACTCCTGGTGCGTTTATACATGCGTCAAGTTCAATCAGAGTTTGTCTTCCTGTATTTTAAATCCTTGCCTGTCCCTCTAGCAGGATTTTTTTTTAAAAAAAGATCTCGATCTTCTTTAGGGTGACATCCTCTCAGGTACTCAAAGACTGCTAGGAAGCTACGGGCAAGACCTCCTTTTGGACTCCTGACAATTTTGGACTCCTGACAATTGTCCGTAACATCACACCCTGCAGCCTCTGTGTAACACACACGCACACAAACGGCCTTTCCACGGGAATGAGGTTCAAATTTAATCTCTCCTCGTTACAAAACCCACCTCCAGGCTGTCCAGCCACTGATCTAAAAGGCTTCACAACTGGTACAGTAAGCACCAGAAGAAAAGAAAAAAGGAAGTCTTGGAATCCACGAGTTCTGCTCTGGCACCTACCCCATTCATGCAAACCTGAGCCAAATTAAACCGCCGCAATCTGTTGCCGGCTCAGGGCTCATTATATCATCACAAAGCAGCCTTTGACTGCTGAAAAACGCTCGACATCTGACGCAGCCTGCCCGACTTGGCTTTCTAAAATTGAATTTCTATCCAATATTCCAATTCTGACTCAACTTTGTTTTTTTTAAAAATAAGCCTGCAGTGACATGTTGTGAAGAGGAGAAAGCGCTGAGCATCATGGTTTCAAATTCCAGCCCCCCCACCCCACCCTTCCCGTCTCCCCTTCCTATCTAGAGTGGGATGACTAACTCTGTTTTGGAACACAAGAATTTTGTTCCTCCCTCCTCTGCATTCCAGCTTGCAGGAGAGTCTACAGAGGAGATTTATAAACTGTGTAGGGGGAAATTTAAAAAAAACACACACACACAAAACCTACCCCAAAACCTTCCCCCTCACCAACTTTTCAAAAGCCATTGATGAATGATGCATCATGAAATCTTACTTTTGTCAGCTTCTCCTGCAGCTCCTGAATTTTCACCTGCTGATCGGCATTGATCTAGACGAGAGAGGAAGAGAAAGAAGAACAGAATGACAAAGTTGGGAGGGACCTCAGAGGTCTTCTAGTCCAACTCCCTGCTCAAGCAGGAGACCCTGGACCAAATGTCTGTCCAGTCTCTTCTTAAAAACCTCCAGTGATGAAGCACCCACAACTTCTGGAGGCAAACACCCCTTCTTAAACCTAGGATCCTATGGACACCTGGGAAAGGACTAGAAGTGAGAGCTTGCAGGCTAAAGTGCCGTTGTAACTTGGAACATAAAAGGGAGCAAAACTCGCTTTACAGTTCCCTTGCTTAGCAACAGAAATTTATGTTATCGTCATAAGTTGAGGACTAAGTGTACCAATGTCACAAAACACAATCAATCCTAACTAAGGCTGGGTAGAGCAAACACGCTCACAATGGAATGGGCTTATCTTAACATTTGGGTCCTGTACGACGTTCTTCTTTCTTAGACTTTCCGTGAAATTTATGTTTTTCTTTAGGCACCCTCTTTCCAAGATTCTTTCCTCCGAGCATTTTTGTACGCCAACCTTCTCGAATTTGCCTTCTCCAACAGCTCAAACATCTCCTTATAGCTTCTAAGATGGTGCAGGGATTTTTCCCCAGCTGCTAAGAACCCACTTCAAGTCACAATGCTTGAAATCTTATAAGCTGCCTAAGATTGGCAGTTTCTCTTTATAAAACGTTCGTGAAGATTGCATATCATGCTAATGCAGTCAGCAGGGCACATGAGCTTCGTCGCTACCGCCGGTCCCCAAATCCCAGTTTAAGTCCAGAACACATTTGATTTTATGGTTTTACTCTCGTAAAAACCTAAATTCAAGGAGGATCACCTGGCTAGTCCCTCGCTGCGAATCAAACTGCCGATCGGTCAAATGTTGTATTTATTCTGGTGCTTTTCCAAAAGGCACAAAGGACTTCCTTTGTTTTTCCTTGAAGACGTTTCGCTTCTCATCCCAGAAGCTTCGTCAGTTCTCAGTTCAATTCTTCTTCAGAACCGAAGAAGCTTCTTGGATGAGAAGCGAAACGTCCTCAAAGAAAAAACTAAGTCCAGTTGCCTTTTGGAAAAAACATCTTTGGGACCCACCATGACCTGGATGACTTGAGAATCCCCGTGTGCATTTATTCTGGGATGTTATCACACAGAATTCGACCAAAAAAATAAAATAAAAAATGACACTTATAAACATACCTTCTCCAGCTTGGAATACAGCTCTCCCACTTCTGTTTTTCCTTGATCTTTAACCTTTGAGGTGAAGAATGAAACAGAAGGTGCAATTTAGAAATCGGATCAACAGAAAACTACAGTTCTGAAGTTTCAATATTCTTACCCTAACCCCCATTTTGAGAAATAAAGGTGAAAACGTGCAGGTAATTGTGATTCAAAACCAAAAAAAAGAAAAGAAAAAAAAAGAAGTAGAGTGAATCTTTCTTAAGTAGATATCCTAATTTGATAGCAGTATTGAAAATAGCTCTGATTATTTTGCAACGCACAAAGTAAATCACGCCACTTTCATTGTCTCCTGGGCCCTTAATATCATACAGGCTAAGAAATTTGCCAAGTGACAAAATTTGCTTTCCCTTGCAAAGTCTTGGGGAACTCTTGATTCCTCCCCCAGTTCTCCGAGCTTCCAAACTCATCTCTGCATCAGTCTATTTATCTGAGATGTAGGTACTCTCTGTACAGATTTCTTACCCCTTGAGATTATTTTGTATTTGTTTTAAAGATTGTTTTTACGAAACACGACGGGATTCCTGCCTATTGCTGTGTAGCCCAAGGGGAAAATGGGGAGAGTGAAAGATACTACAGGTCGAACGCTTGGGTTATGATTTTGTTTTGAATCTGTTTTTCAGGGCTGGTTGGGAACTTTTATTTCCCACAACTTTGTGATTTAGCACAGAGCACCTGGAGCAAATAAACACTGAACTCAAAAAAACATCTTTAGAACAAAAGCTGAGGTTTGGCAGTCAGAATCCCCAGCAATTCAGTCTCCCAACTCCCTTTTCAAAGAAATGCTAAGGAATAATTTCTCCTCTCTTTCTCTACCACCCACTACAGATAGTCCTTGACTTACGATCACAGTTGAGCCCAAAATTTCTCTTTGCCGTTGTAAATTGGAACGGTCTTTAAATGAACTGTTGTTAAGTCGAGGACTACCTGTATTTCTTTGGCTATCAAAAGTTAAAGTCTGCAGCTCAGTTATTTGCTGTCTGCCTGTATGTGTTGCACACAGGCACCCTAAAAATTCTGTCAAATTTTGAGTCAAATGTTGTCTCTTTTCCATACGTTAGGAGCCAGACAGACTGGGAATTCAACCGGGGAATTCTGGAGTGGTGACCTTAACTACTTTCTGCAGCCTGTTATGACATTCGGTGGCTTTTCGCTTGAAGTCTTCTGCAGCCAGTCGAGACTCCCTCAGCTCCGATTCGTAAAGATCACTACGTCTGCGAGCGGAAATCAGGTCCTCCTCTAGCTGATTCATCATCAGTCTCATTTCTTCCACTTGAGCTTGATACTCCTGAGGGACGGAAAGGGAAGTCACACGTCTTGGAAAGTGAGGAGGAAAAAAATGGAGGTGAGGAGAGAGCCTGGAATCACAGAGAGATTCCTCGTGAAATGTGGCCATTCATTCATTCACTCATTTACTCATTCAATCATTTTCACTCGCATTCATTCACTCATTCACCTCGTTTTTTTTAATCCTGTAAAGCATTTTGTTTTGAAAAGAGGATTTATATGAAACCATGCTTAGGGGTAGAACCAGCTAATACAGAGATCCCCAACCTTTTGGGCACCGGGGACTGGTTCCATGGAGAGAGGTTTTTCCGCGGACCGGAGGATGCATGGTTTTGTGTGCTGCCTGCATCCCACAGATGGGGCTTTGTTTGTTTGTGCGGACCGGTTGCTGGCGTGCCGTGGCCCCGTACTGGTCCACAGACCGAGGGTTGGGGACCCCTGAGCTAATACATTCTAAGTCAGTAATGGCGAATCTATGAAAAATGTCTCAAAGGTGGCATGCCATGTTTAGGGTGACCTGCCAGTGTTCGCTAACATCTGAGAATAGCTATTCACACATGAAAACATCCCCTTCTTGCGTAGTTTTTGGAGGCTGCAGAGACCACAGGAGATGGGAGGTGGTCTAACGCAGCCCCTCGACCCTCCCAAAGTGAGTCCCCTTTACTTGTAATTTCATTTCTCTAATTATTTGATGTTTCTTTACATAATACACGTGGAGGGGGAGGGTGCGATGGCTCGGCGGTGAAAGATGCTGAGCTTGTCAGCTAGAGAGCTGACAGTCCGGGTTTGAGACCCAGCGCCACACAGTGGGGTGAGCTCCCGTTCCTTGTCCCAGCTCCTACCTACCAAGCAGTTTGGAAGCATTCAACTGCGAGTAGATTAATAGGTAGCATTTCGGTGGGAAGGTAACAGAAAAAAATCTTTGGACAACGCTGGCTCCCTCGACGATTAAATGAGGATGAGCAAGCCGCCCTAGAGTCAGACATGACTGGACACGTTTACCTTTTTATATAGTACTAGCTGTACCCGGCCACGCGTTGCTGTGGCTCAGTCTGGTAAAAGCGTGTGTTGCTTTTACGTCCAACAGATGGCGCTGTTTTTCAAAAAAGCATGTTTTTACCTGTCACAGGTGTGACATCTATATAATATAGGTATATAAAAACACGCGCGTATTCGAATGCAACGTTGTGTCAAAATTTCAAAGCAATCGGTGAAGAACTTTCGGAGAGTTAAGATTTTGAACAAACGAACATTTACATTTTTATTTATATAAGATATAGTGCCACGTGAGATTGGTCTGTTTTTTTAAAAAAAAAAACAACCTAAATGAATATGTAAAGTATTGTTTCTCTTTGGTTCGGGGTGTGTGTGTGAGAGAGACACACCATCAGAATCAAGTTAGGCATTTCCCCAATTTGAGCCCCAAAGGTTCGCCATCCCTGTTCTTAGCTGTCGTTATTAAATCCTCTGAAGGTTAGTTATCTGTACCTGCTCTTTGATTTCCTGCAACTTGCGACTTTGTTCTCTTATGTCGTGAAGGAGCTGCAGGGCCTTGTCGTCCTCTTGAGAAACCTCCATCCGAGCCTGTTCCAGACTTCGCTTTAAGCTCTGCAAAAATGCAATGTTGAACACAAAGGCCCTTTTGCCAGAGACTAGGCCAAAGCAAAGGGGATCGGCTAAGGAAACACACCACAAATCAAAGAAAAAATAAAAACCCAACCGTTGTAAACAAGAAGCTTTGCATGTCAGCTTCGGGGCAATTTCATCCTTCTGATCTCAAGAGCAGCAACAATATTCTCTAGCAGATGTCTCCAGAGCAGTTAAATATGCTTCTGATCCAAAACGTAACAAGGACAAGTAATTTAATTTAAGAAGCTACTTGAATGACAGTATAATAGCAATCTCCATACAGAATAACAGAGTTGGAAGAGACCTTGGAGGTCTTCTAGTCCACACACACACACACACACACACATCTCTGCTAAAGCAGGACTGGCTTTTCCAGTCTCTTCTTGAAAACCTCCAGTGATGGAGCGCCCACAACTTCCAGAGGTAAAACTGATTAATTGTTCTGTCAGGAAATTTCTCCTTAGTTCTAGGTTGTATCTCTCTTTGATGAACTTCCATCCGTTACTTCTTGTCCTGCCCTCTAGTACTTTGGAGACCATTAAATGGACTCCATTAAATTATATCTACTGGACCATTACACAGAGATGGGCCATAGTTCAAAAGATTAGCACTGAAGGTGTGGTCTCAACCCATCCCCGTCATCAGCGATAAGACTAAGAAAAGATCTAAATCAGGGGTCTTCAGACTTGGCCCTTTTACGACTTGTGGACTTCCAACTCCCAGAATTCCTCAGCCAGGCACGCTGGCTGAGGAATTCTGGGAGTTGAACTCCACAAGTCGTAAAAGGGCCAAGTTTGAAGGCCTCTGATCTAAATCCTTGGAAAGTCCCAATCCTAGGAAAGGCCAACCTTTTTGGAGCAGATACATCCATTATGAAGGCTTCTTCATTTCTATTTGTTGATACTACACCTTGAACGGGGTCAATCTAGAGGGACTCACAGATTTAGGATTTGTTACGTCCAAAGAATTGCCTTTAAGCTGACTTTACTCCAGAAGATGCTCAAAAAAAACAACAACACTCCGATCCCTTTGGAGTTGCTCTCTGCCTTTAAGACACAACCCCAATATTCTGGTGCTTTGGTCTCACGTCAACCCTTAGGCTCACGAGACCCCAATACCACGTAACAGGCCTCAAATTAAAAACGCCCCCGGTCTGGAGCAACTGCTTAACTTCTCCACGACGGTGCCCCCAGCCCTGTTGATCCCAATGGCCAGCTAGAGAGCTGCTAAAGGGAGGCCCCCAAGGTGAGGGATCTCAGGGGAACAGGGAAGAGGCTCACACTGCATTCTGTGATGTAGGTAGCCAGGTCCTGTTCGAGGAGGGATCGCTGGGTCTCGGAGGCTTTCAGTTCCACCTCCTTTTGGCTGAGTACAGCCTCCACCTCCGACACTCTGCGATGCAAACGGGTCATTTCCTGCTCCATCTGCAACAGACATCAAACAGGTTTAAAAGGGCTTTCCCAGCAGGCGCAGGGGAGAGTTTGCGGCATCAAGGCCCACACGGGGAGGGAATCGGTGAGCTAGAAGGTTGTTTAAAAGGCAAATACCATTATTTCTGGTCCTGGAAATTCACACTTCCTTCTCAGGGAAAAGCAGGAATTCTAAGTCACCCCATTCATTCACGCGGTTTGTTCGCATTCAGCCACTCTTCGAAACCCCGTTCGCAAAGAAGTCACAATCATCATCTTTTCACCTGATTGGGGTGTTTGTTTGTTTTTTGGTTTTGGTTTTAATTTTTCTCTTTTTCTCTCGCTCCAGAGATGGGTCACTTTCGCTTTATCCCAAATCCATCTTGGACCGGAAGAGGACTTCCCCCCATATCCTTCCGAGGGAGCGGAGAATCGAGTCCAGCCCAGATCAAAGCCAGAAAGCGTTGCGCTCCCTTGAAGTCCCCCAAAGAAGAACGGACTTTACGCGGATCCCAGGGAGTTTATTTCCAGAAACTGGATAGAAAACCCGATTCGCTGCAAAATCGAGGAAGGGGCCAGAGTTACAGAAGCAGAAAGAGGAGGACCAGGGGGTGGAAGAAAAAAAACAAAGCAAGACTTGGCAGTACTCAAAAGAGAATTAGAGAAGGAAAGCATCAGATGAAGAAGACGACGTGGGAAGCGCTGAAAACCACCATCTGAGCCGGGCTGATAAAGGATCTTGGAAGGATCCAGAGCTTCTTCTGGCTAAAATGAGCAGCCCTGGAGCCAGACATGACCTAGGCTTATCTCCCTGGGCCCCGATAAGGAAAGCTCTCCGCTGAAGCCGCCAACCATCGTCCATCAGCCTCTGGCAGGTCCTTTGGCACGGGCGGGTTGCGAACTTCTGCAGCAAGGAGGGAGGCCAGCCATGTAAATAAATACCTTGTGACACTTTGCCTGGGTGTCTTGCAGCTCTTTGCTCTTAAAGAGGACTTTCTTTTCCATGGAGCTAATCTTAGCGGGAGAATCCAAGCTCAAAGCAGACCTTGAAAGAAAGAGAGGGAGAGAGAAGGAAGGAATGAATCTCAAACACACTAGCAGAAATGGGTTTCTCAGCCCTGCCAACTTTAAGACGTGTGTGTGGACTTCAACTCCCAGAATTCATAGCCGGCTGGGGAATTCTAAGAGTTGAAGTCCATGCACCTTAACATTGCCAAGGTTGAGAAACATTGACCTAGAGAAGACACAGCTCTATTTACTCTCGTTAGGAGAAGCTACAGGAAGGCTACCAGAATAGCCAGGTATTGCCCGCTGCCATTAAGCATCCTTTTAAAAACCTCTCTCTCCCCTTCATTGTTTAAGGGGAGTTGCACATTAGTACTGCTGTAATAAAAACAGCACCGGGCATTTCTTTAAAATGAGTGCAACTTCCCTGCCAGGCGAAGGAGGCCTTGGTAAGAGAAAAGCCACGTGGAGTTTCCGAGCTGTGCTATGATCATCTAACTTAGAGATGCTTCGATCGGCTTGGGAAAAAAAATATTAGAGGTTAAAAGTTCTACACGGGGAAAATTTTTGCTTTATTGCTGAGAAAAGGCTAGGTGTGTACAGCGTAAGCCACCGTGATGGTTTCAGTTGTAAAGTGAGTCACACCAACGTAAGGGGACTCCAGCTTCCTCCTTCGCTTTGGCTTGCCAGCTGGAAAGATCACAACTGGGAGCCAGGGAATCCTGGGATGCTGCAACCGTTGTAAATTACAGGCCAGTTGCCAGGCACCTGAATTTTGATCACCTGACCGCTGGGATGCTGCGACGATCATAAATGTGAGGATTTGTCGTAAGTCGCTTTTTTGTAGGCCCATTGCAACTTCAGAAGGCTACTAAATCAATGGTTGCAAGTCAAGGATTGCCTGTAGCACATCGTGTAAGTACAGCCGGTGCTTTTACAAGTATTTTTCTTCTATATCTTCATCATCATCATCATCATCATCATCATCATCATAACAGAGTTGGAAGGGACCTTGGAGGTCATCTAGTCCAACCCCCTGCTCAGGCAGGAAACCCTATACCATTTCAGACAAACGGTTGTCCAGTCTCTTCTTAAAAACTTCCAGTGTTGGAGCACCCACAACCTCTGGAGGCAGGCTGTTCCACTGGTTAATTGTTCTCACTGTCAGGAAGTTTCTCCTTAGTTCTAGGTTGCTTCTCTCCATCATCCCTTAAACTTTGCATTATTCTCCTTTCAATGGCTGGCCCATAGATTTTCCCCCCCTTGTTTTTATACCAAAAACTAGGATCTAAGAACCATTTGTTTGTTCAAAAAGTTACATGTTTAAAATCTCAATTTGGCATATCATAGTCATCTCCCGGTGTCACTTTTCGTGATACAAAAATGCAAATGCAAAAAGCTATGTGACTTCGGGAGAGATATTTTACAGCTCTGTAATTGGGCTCGAAAAGCATAGTTGATAGCTTAGAGTGCTGTGCAAATGAATCCCATGTTTATTCAATAAGCTTTCATTGAGCACAACCCAACAAAAAAATCAGCCAAATGTGGCTTATTCAATAAACACTCCTTACATATGCCACGAGAGAGCTTAACATTTGAATAAAGTCCTTCGCCTGTACATTTCTGATACAACTGGGAGGTGTTTTGTGTTATGATTGTTTCATTTGTGCTGGCCTTTCTGCTTGGATATAAACCCACAGAAGTTACAAACTACGGTTATGATCTTGCATGTCGTGCAAAATCCTAACTGTGATTTGGAAAGGTACGATTAAATGAACTACGTTAGAACTGGTGGCATTAATCAAACTCCTTTATTGAAACTAGGAGACATTTATGATGGGGTTTCTAAGCCATTGGATTTATAGCCTGGCACGTTGAGCAATCCCTGCCGATCCGAATGCGCTCAGTAAACTATGATTAAGCAAGCATGGTTTAATGTACTGTCCAAATCCAGATTGCCCTTTTAAAATCTCCTACAGCAGAGAAAGCGATGCCACGCTTTTAGTTCGAGAACCTTGAACACCACTGCTGGCATATTTTCCCTTTTAACATCTTTCTCTTCCTCTAATGAAGAATAATTTGGAAGAAACCAGAGAAACTTTAAAGCAGACCTTGAGAATCCAATGAAAGGTGAAGAACCACAGGGTGCCTTGCAAATTAGCTTCGTTGACCAGGACTATGCCTGCCGCTGTCACCATTAACCGATAAACACAGTTATCTTTCTCTGCTCAAGTGAGCCTCATCAAGCAGCCTCTTATGAAGAAGCTTAAATCATTTTTCCGTCCAATTTCCTCACCGGCTAGGTCAGGATCCAGGGCCAAATTGATCAACTACTCGAGGTGCTCGTCATCCGAAGGAAGACCTTTCGATTTGCTGCTTTTAGAGATGACTCAAAGGTTCGGTGAAGACTTTTAAAAAGAGACCTTAGGTTCCCCCCTCCCAAAAAATAATAATAACCCCTGTAAAACTGAGCAGAAAGTCAGCCTTTTGGTGCAGAGGTACCACCTTCGGATTCCTGATTGGTAGTCCCGATTTTCCGCCCCCGCCCAAAAAAGCAGCACCCTCTGAGTAGGAGGACACCAAAGGCAGAGAAGAAGCTTCCTTTTAATTGCTGGCCTATTTCAGGTCCTTCTGACTCATAACACGGGAACATCACTGGTGCCAGGAGAGAAACCAAATTTAGGTTCATTTAAAACAAAAAACAAAAAAAAAACACAACCATCCTCCACACACACACACACGGGAAACGCAGAAACCTGTGATAGTCAGACAATCTACCCCAGAACTGAACTGCCTATAGAGAAGTCCATTCAAAATAGGAAGCTGATGTTTTAAACAAGCCACGCTTCAAGGATGCTTTGCTGAAAACCCCAGGGTTGAATTTGCAGATTTACAACCTCGTGCAATAGCTGGAAGCCCAATTTAAACCAATGAAAGAATGCTTAGGGCGTGCATTCCTATTAAAAAGGAAAAAGAAAAGGGAAGACACCACATGAAATATATAAAAATCTCCCGTGCAGGGACAATCTGAAGCGTCTGAAGGCTCTCGGCATCGTCCGCCGAACCTGCTTTGCTCATACTTTCCTTCTAATAGTAGCAACCCAGACTCCAGGGCCCACGAAAGCAGAAGAGGCAATCCTTAGACGAGGGGTTACACTTCCTTAGATCAGCTCGCTAGCGTGATCCAGGTCCTAAGATCTCTCCAGCCAGCCAATCGCCCCGGCCCTCTGCATCGGCCATTCTGCAGTTCCGATGCCTCCTTTCACCCTGAGTTCTACCAACAGCCTGCTCCCCATTTTGTTGGCCATCCTGCATCCCTCGGCTCGTCTTCACCGTGCCCCCCCACTTCCCCCAGAGATTCCCTGGATCTACCAGGCTTGGCAAACACCCCAGCCAGTTCACAGAAGCAGCACACAGACCCAGGCTTAGATTGCCCCCAATTCCCTTCTGAATGTTATTTTTATTTTTGCAAAGCCAGACGGTGAAGTCAAAAAAACCATTTTCTGCCCCTAAAGGATCACGGATTGGAGATGGCATTCCAGGAGTTTTCATCTCAAACCAAGAAAAGAGTCCCCATTGCATCTTACTCCTGGGGATTGGGGGGGGGGGGAGAAGACTAATTAAGATCCATCCTAGTTTGTAGGGAAACAGACCCCGAATCATCTCCCTCCGGTGGTCCACGACCGGGTTCCTGCCTCCTCCCAAGCCCAGCGACTGCTCCATCCCCTCCAAGCCGGCAGCGTTGCCTACTACTTACTCTGACCGTAGAACCGCCAGCGCCTTGATGAAGGAGAAGCCCACGAACGGCAAATCTTCTCCTGAGGAACTTGCAGGGCTCAGCTGGGCGAGAGAGGAAGCAATTCTGGCGTCCTTCTCCTCCGGGGCATCAAAATGAGAGGTATCATCTTCACGCTTGAGGCTCGGCACGAAGGGAGGAAGAGCTGGTGATTTTTTCCCAGGAGCCACCCGGGGGGAGGAAAGAAGGGGAAAGGATGAGCTGCAGTTTGGGGTCCCAGCGGCTCTCATTCAGCAACGGCGGCGGAGGCACTGCAGCGCCTGCT